CATCTATAAAAGGTAAATTCATGCTACCTCAGAAGGTTGTGTACAAGCAAACACAGTGTGACCCAGCTGTACATTCCTGGGAAAAGAATTTGGAGTCAGGACACAAAAAGGGATCGTGGCCATTTGCTGTGAATTCCTGCAGACTCTTTCATCTGTAAGTAATGCGTGAATGTATTTCACGTTCTAAGACAATTCCTCCAATGAAGCTATGGTCAAGATTAACAAGCTTTCAAAAATGCTAACTTCAGTGATATGTGATCCCATCCCTACTTATAAAACAATTTCTACCCAATTAACTTGGAAATCAATAGTATAAGCAAAAATGATTTCCGGCTTGCTAACCTAGGTTTACAAAAACATGGGGAAAATACTGATTTCACACAGAAGCACATAGATATAAGGTTAGGCTTCAGTTGCCCAGTATGCTTACTACATTTTCTTGTTAAAATAGCAAAAAGGATACTATTCTTCTTGACTACAGTGTTCCCATATAGCAAACCAAAATGTCTCATTATTTCATTATTTTAACACATTTTTAAAGGAATTCTTTGGATCAAAATCTGTGCTCCTAGGTCCTGTGGAGGTGCCTCAGGAGTTTCAGTGGTGAGCAAGCAGGTAAGGACTCCAGGCTCTCTCTGCCCCACCCGTCTTCAATACCAACAGCACGAGTTTTATCTTTGAAAAGATATGTGTGTGCATGCACGTGTGTGTGTAATATGTATTGCGGTTAATATGTAATGGGTTTTTTGGGGGGTGGGGCATTACTCCTTAAAGAAGGTTGGAAAACTTCCACTCAAGGGCTGAACTGAACCAACAACTAGAAGTTGGTTCCAAGTGTTACCTGTATGTACAATCCCTTTGTAAAATCACAGAGATACTGTATCAGATGTTTCCCAGTGTCCAGGTTATTCCTTGAAATATCTCTAGTTTCATTATCCTTTCATTTGACCATTAGTCCTACATTTCTCACCACCTATTGGATATTGTCCCTCCATCCCCTCAGACTCAACTTCTATCAACTTCCTCCACAAATCAGCCACCTCTTCCATTTTCTCAGTCCTGGTCAGAGACCCCCTCTTTCTTTCAGGTACCCTGCTTCAAACGTGTAGATTATTTTTTAACTCATCCTTCTTATCCAGTCATCAAGTTCAGCTTAATTTCTCTTCTTCTAAACATGGCTCACTAACATCCTTTCTCCTGTTTTCCACTGCACCATCCCAGTTCCACCAGAGCACCTGATGCCTGGGATGCCTTCCACAGCTTCCTAAGTGGCCTCATGGCTCCATTCTTTTTTTCTTTTTTTGCAGTTGGCCAGTATGGGGTCCAAGGATTGAACCTTTTTTTTTTTTTTTTCCTTTTTATCTTTTTTCGTGTCCGGCAACGGATCGCAACCCTCAGTGTCGCGCCCGTACCGGACCGGGACCGGCAACAGGATCGCAAACCTCGGTGCTGCGCCCACACCTCGCTCAGCCAGTGAGCGGGAACCGGTCTGTATGTGGGATCCGAACCCTCGGCAGGAGCGCCGCCGCGCTCCCAAGTGGCGCACTGTAGCAGTGCGCCACCGGGCCGGCCCAAGGATCGAACCTTTAACGTTGGTGTTATCAGCACCACTCACTAACCAAGTGAGCGAACTGTCCATCCCTCCATTCTTTTTTGATCTAACTCATTCTTCCAGACTAATTCTCCTTAAACGCTCTCTTTCATCTTGTTAATTCCCTCTACACAACCTTGAATGGTTTCCAGTTTGTTTTGAAACCAAGTCTGAACTATTCTGCTTTGCTTTCAAGGCTCTTCAAAATCATATGGCTCTACTCTCCTTTCTAATTAGGTCAGTCTCCTCCCTGTCATTACAATTCCAGCATCTGTGCACTTATATAAACATGTTGAGTTGACCTGGCCTGAAAGGACGCATTCCTTCCACCTACCTCTTCAGTCTTATCTCTAATCTTTCCTTACTCGGTACCCCGTATTCTTGACATAATCAAGTACTTTGGGTCCCTGAAAACACTTGCCTCTGGGCCTTCACACTTGCATTCCCCTCCCTCCCTTGGTCTCCATCTCTGCTTTCTTTATCCTGCACTCTAAACAGAGTAACTCATATCTTCCTTTCAGCCACCACTGCATCGTATACCTATTTCTATTATAGACCTTATACCCAGTATTGCAGTGTTTTGATTACATGTCTGTTTGATTTCTCCACTAGATTGTGAGCCACGCTCTCAGAATAGTTCAGACTTGGTTTCAAAACGAGGTCCCTGGCCTCCAATAGCTCACAACTGTTTTGTACTCCTGGTGAATTGCTTCAGTAACTCGATAGGTGTTTGTTGAATCAATAAATGAGTAAATTTCTATTTAAATCCTTTTCACTCTTCAAAGTTCAACTAAAATTCTCCCTGTGTCTTTGAGTCCCCTATGAAGTGTTCTTTGAGAGTTGTTGTCTTTCATCTCTTCTCTGAAGCCTCATAGTAATTATGGCTTGTATTATAAAAATGAGGAGATTTTAAAAAATTGGATCACAAGCTCCTTGAATGTAGGGACACATATTTATATTGTCTGTGTCATTGCATTGACAACAGTGCTGAGCATATAGTAAAAGCTAAATAAACATTTGTTTTCTGATGAGAGTTATACACTCCTCAATTCTGTGCTTAGGAAAGTAATAACAGCTACTAGCCTACCTGGAAAATTCTAATTTTTTTCTTAATATAACCATAGTCATGAAATTAAGTACAGATTTATTCAGAAAATATTTAGTGAATACCTACTAATTTCCTGGCATCAAAGCATTGATTGAAATATAGGCATGAATTCTATTAATAAATAATTTTTTTCCCAGGTAAAATTAGTAGTGCTAATACATGGAAGCTCTGTACATTTCTTTCACTTTTAAATTTGTAGACTTGTAAATTTTTAGTGGTCAATTGAGTAGTTTTTCAGTGGTTACCAGATTACTTTGTTTTTTTGGGGAATGGGTACTTTGAAGTTCTTTCTGGTTGATTTTTCTCAGTGGTGCACTGAATTCATTCTTGGATATGAGATTGTCATGGTTGGGAAATGGGGAGGATGAGTCCTGAATGGTCTGGTGTAATGTTTTTTTGACCAATCTATATCCAGAAACTATGTAGTGGGCTGGACAGGACTAATCTAAATTGTGTATATACCATAACTTCAGTGCTTGCCAGCTTACTTAGACTGACCAGATGCCACAGATTGGTATCAAGGTCCTGTAGTGTCACCTCTCTAGGGTTACTGGCCACGATCCCAAGGAAGGTCATTAGGCACATTTAGAGTAGAAGGGCAGAAACTGCCCTGTGTTCTTCAGTCCCAACCCTTCCCACATCTTAGGTCACCTGTCTCACTCCTGATTTAAATCTAAGGTGTGTTTCTTGTTTTCTTGTTTCCTTATTCATTAGTTCACTCAACATTTCTAAATGACAACTATGGGCAAGAAGCTGTGCTTGGTGCTCAAGATACAAAGGCAAAAACAACAGAACCCCTGTCTTCAAGGAGATCAGTTGAATAACCTGAAAGTAAAATGTATACGCCATTGTAGAAACAATATTTGACATTGACTTATGTTGCCTTTGAAAAGCAAAATTCAATATATGAATATGTCTTTAGGCCAGAATCCCTTGAATTAATATGCATATATAAATTAAAATGCTATTATTAATATTAATACTATTATTGTTATATAATATGAATATTATGTAAAAAAAAAAGATGAGGCCCTTTTTACATACAGAGAATAAACTTTAAATAGTAATGAAGTAATATCCTAGAAGTAATTAGGTGGCTAAGGAGGCAAAGTAGCTCTTACAGGACTCTAAATACCAATAATTCTCTATAAAGTAATACATTTCAACCACATTATTCACATATTATTACATTATAATATTAAAGGTAGCAAATGCCACCCGGGGGGCCTAAGGCTGGTTCCAGGTTTTGTGGTACCTGAAACTGATAAATGTGGAAGGACTCCTCAAAATAAAATAGAATTAAAATTAGGTATAGCCTATACAAGTGAGGACTCCTGAAGCTTATACTCCATTTGCCTCACAGAAAAGCTGGCTATGGTAGGCCCATAAAAAATATATATCACTTTTACCCATCAGTCATATTAGGGAAAGATTTGGGGTATTGGGGAGAATAGTGTTCATTAAGCTGATATCAAAAGTTTATAATAAATTTAATACATGTGAAATGAGTCTTTAAATTGACCTTAGCCACAGCCTTATTCTATCTTTATTCTATTAGTCTTTATCCTATTATTTGTCTTTCTTTAAAATTCAAAAAATGCCACAGGTACTTGTTGAATAGAGACCTCAAATACTTTCCTTTTTTAGGCTATAGACTGTAAACCTACACTGTTCAATACTGTGGTCATTAGCCACATGGGTTTACTGGGCACTCGAAATGTGGCTACTGCAGCTGAAGAACTGAATTTTTAATTATATTTAATTTTAATTAATTTAAGTTAAAAATGGATGCTCAATTCAGTCATTGCAAAACTTTTAAATATGTTTGGAATAACTTGGGCATGTCAATCTACTTTTTCAACTGTGTATTTTATGAAATCTAAATGCAGATTAAGTTTTTCCTAGGAAAATTTAGCATCCAAATTGAGATGTGCTGTAAGTATTGAATTCATAACTGGATTTCAAATCCCTGGTATGACAAAAAGAATGTGAAATATCTTGTGAATAATGCTTATATTGATTACGTGTTGAAAGGATAATATTAATATTGGTTAAATAAGGTATGTTATTAAACTTAATTTCACCTAGTTCTTTTTACTTTTTAAAAATGTGGCTACTAGAAAATTTGAAATTACATACATAGCTAGTATTATATTTCTGTTGAACAGAGGTGCTTTAGACGCTGACTGCTTTTCTCAAAGGGATTATGTAATTTTTGAAACCACATACTTAAAAGGTGAAGCTTAGGAGGATCTTGGTAGATGGAAAACAATTACCAAACATCCAACGGGACATTTTTACCTGACTTGAGGCGGTGGAATTCCTACCACTATGCAATCCAACTGTACTCGGGTTCCTTCTGGAACTTCTCTGCTCCGTAACTTTTGAGTGAACCGGGGAGGTTGGCCCAGAGGTTCTTCGTAGTACAAAGATGAAGGTGAAGACCCTGGGGAGGAATCCCCACCAGATGCCTCGCTGGCAGCCTGCTCAGCTTCACGTCTCTTGGCTTCCTGCTGTTCAAGGGCATGATTCACTTCATTGTCCCTGGTATCCACAGGGATAGGGATGGGAGCAGAAGATCTTTCTCGTCTTTCTGACAGAGCTGAGAAACCGGAGCTGTTTTCCTGTGTATCTTTGTTGTGAGATTCCAGTTTGCTCTTGTGGTTTTTGCAGGCACGAGGTCTAATCCTCTTGGAGCTATGGGCTTTGAAAAGGGAGGACAGCTCCTCAATGAAATCGGCAGCCTTATTTAGGAATACTTTTTTGCACTGGGTTTCAGAACTATACTGTGGCCTTTTTGCCTCCTGGGGGCTCTCTTTCGAGCTGGTAGGACTTTGAGGGTTGTCCTGGCAGAAGTTAGGCTCAAAACTTGATTTAGGTGAGTGTTTCATCTGATCAGAAGAAAGATGTTTTCTACCTTGAGCTTCATCTGCTTTCTCCAAAGGGTCGTGATTGATGGCCAGTCTCGCCAGATTGACACTTTCATCTAATTCTTCTTGGCTTAGAAAGGCTGAAAGGTCTGGAAGGTCATCTTGGCCTCCTCCTTCAGCAGCCCCAGGACTGCCATAATGGAAAGGGCTGGAGGAAGGCTCTGCTCGACTCCTCTCATTGTTTCCCCGATGTCTAGTTTCAGCTAAATAGCTCTCTCTTAGAAGCTGAGATATGGAGGTAGAGGCTTCTATGCTGTCGTCTTGCATGCTGTCACAAAATAATAACCATAACAAAAAGTTTGGATCATTTCTATGGAACAATAAGTCTGTCTATTATAGCATGGTGGATTCTTAAGAACTTAAAGCTCAAAATAAAAAAATGCCTAATTTTAATACACAAAATGTACACCGAAGACTTAAAGATTACTCTCAAATTATAAAACAGATAGGAACTGAATGAAGTTTCCCTGACATTGAAACTAAAATCCTGGGTGATCACCACTTTATTTAATTCTTTAAATGCAAGTTCAATTGTGAAAGCTATGACATAACTATAATGATATTAAATATAATCTGTAAGCCTCATTTTGATAATATCCATAAAAGCCTTTTCATTATAAAGTGCTTTCATACACAGAGATTTGTTCTTTATCCTTTCCTCTTTACCTTGAATGTAGTAGAATTATAGAAATGAAAAGATATTGACAACATAGTCTCATCAGTTACTGAAAATATACATTTGATCTAGCTCATGGAAAATAATGCTTTTGTTTTTGACTACAGCTAAGCTGTTTAAATTCAATGCTGTTATTATGCTCATTCTGCCCTTGAAAACTATGGTGCTTTAGCCTCTTCACATAAGGCTACAAAGATATGAGTCAGAGCCTAGGTTTTAAAAAACCTCTTAAACTAACATTGGTTAGGAAGGGAAATGGGAGACAGCAGAACTGGGTGCTTGGCAGGAGACTTTTCACTGTGTATCCTTCCTCACTTTTGAATTTTAACTCTATGAATGTATTCCCTATTCAAAAAATAAATATTTTTTAAAGTCTTAAGAAAATAATATAATAATGCACACTGATTTTATATTATTAATATTATACCCATTTATTCATTCAAACATTTACTAGAGGGATGGAAAACTTGTGACTCAGAGGCTGTCATACCTAAAAGATGACACTCACTGATTACAATATTTTTCCTACTGACTCTGACTTCCTTAACATTGCACTCCTTCAGCCGCACCAATCAATCAGAGATGGTAATGATGATGAAGACTATTTGCCATTCTTGGCTACTATGTGCTAGGCCTTGTACTGGGAGGGTTAAGTCTCCTAAATCTCTCCTGGCTTTGAGATTCTATGACAAAACATTTCAGTTTATTCATCTTCTTTTTCTTACCTGATAGCTTCACTTATATCATGCATAAGGCTTCCTAGGAACTGCCCTAGTTTCTAAGCTTCTGGAGACCTATCCAAAACTGACCTCTAAATTGGCAAAGTAGGCAGTGACCTTGAAAGGACAATTAGAGATAGCTAAAAGGATCACCTACAGCAAAAAAAATTTTCCACACGCTTGCACAGCCTGAGATTGCTCCTCTTAGGGCCGCTTATTTGTGTAAAGTCTATAATGCCTTTAAAAATATTAATTTAAAATACAAAGGTGTTAGATTAGGCAAAGATTTATCTACAAAGGTATTCATTCTAGTACAGGTGATAATATTAAAAATTGAAACCATATAAAATAATAAGAAAGTATTAATTACATTATGGTATATTCATTAAATAGAACTATATAACTATGTTAAATTTTGTAGAACAGTGAATAATATACAAAACAGTATATGAAAGTATAATTGATATCTCAATTGAAAAATTTTCTCATTTGTACATCAACTATGTGGAAGAACAGATACATGAAATAAGCTGCAAAATGCTATTTGGAAATGTAATTAATATACTGATTGAAAATCCTCATTTGTATATTAACTATTTCTTCAGGCTAGATTGAGTTTCTGTATATATTTAGATGTAAGAGAGAAAATTAAGTGCCTTATAAATCAGGGTGGCCTTCTCTCTATTAATGGGATATTATTGTATATTCTGTCTTATGTGACTTGGTCTTTAACTCTTTGTTTTAAGATGGCTTTTATTTTGAGGCAATATGGAATGAGCATTGGCCTTGGAACCAGATAGAGCTGATTTCAAATTCTGGCTTCACCTCTTAGCAGTTCTGTGAGTTTGAGAGATTTACTTAACTTCTCTCAGCTTTGACTTCCTCATCTGCAAAACATGGATAATATCTATTTCACAAGAGAGTTAGAATTAATAACAGCATGAAAGCAAAGTCCTAAAAATAGGGCATGCTGCCATAATGGGTACTCAACTGATGTTGGTAAAAAAACAAAACGTAGGTAAAGGTAATGATAATGTTGAAGAGCTCTCAGAAAGTTTATTTATTTATGGTGGAAACAGAAAAGAAAATACTCAAGTAATCACTGCTTTCTGCATCTATTTTTTTTAAGAAAAGAAGCCAGTTGAGGTGTCAATGGGTACCCATTCTTATGCTTATGGTCATGAGAAATTATTATGGTAACAAAATTTTCAGGTATTCAAAATAAAGGTTTTCTTTAATGTAGTATTTATAGCCTAATACTTTGGTGTGAGTTAGAACTGGCTCAAAACCTAGTTCTGACACTTCCTAGCTGTGTAAGCTTGAGAAACTTTAACCTCTATAAGCCTCAGTTTACTCATCTGTAAAGCAATGATAATAACAGCAGCCATCTCATAGGTTGAAGTGATGATTAAATGTGCTTGGCATTTAGTAAACATTCAATAAATTGTAGTTACCATTACTATAATAATCATCATCAAAATTACTATTGTTATATGACAACTATGGCCACATATCATGGTCTCTATTTTTTACGTAAGAAATGGAGGTAGAGCTAGTGAAGTGACTTGACCCAAGGAAAAACTTTGAAGAGAAACTGAACTCTAGATTTGTAGTTAATTCAGTGTATCTATACTCTATTGAAATACTCACAGTATCATGAGTGAACCATGCTGAGTTCTTTGTACATATTCCCTTTGCTTGGGCTGCTCCCTGTCGCCACCTTCCTTCACTGTCTTAGTGAACCAAGTCCTGCATGGTCTTCAATTCCTAGATGAGATATCGCTGCCCTGGAATTTCTTCTCTTCCCTGGGTTGGGGACCTCTCCCATGTGCTCCCAAGGCTCACTGTCCTGATCCCAAACACAGCACTTACCCCAATAGGTTGAATTTGTCTATTTACTTGTCTCCCTTGCTTTGTTTTGTACATCATCACCTCTGTACACACAGAGCACATAGAAAGTAGTCAATAAATATCTGTTGAATTCTTTTGTTCATTAGAATTCCCTGATAAATCTATCATTTATCTTTTTTCTTTTTCTATTTTTTTAAATTGTAGGGTAAAGTAAGCCAGATAAAGGAGGACAAAGGAAACTTATAGACACACAAAAAAAATATAAACTGGTAACTGCATTCATAACTTTAAGGTGAACTTAAAATGAAAGTGTGTTTATGGTAGATAAGATAACTGGAGTTATGCTTTATTTCATACAAGAAATGTCAAAGAACATCTGATTATAATCAGAAAACCTGGGTTTAAATCCCATTTCCAACACTAAATAACTTTGATATCTTGAGAAAACCACTTAATGCCTCTGAACTTCAATCATTCTCAACTACCAAATAGGATAGAAAAATTTTGTCGTAGAGAGTTCTCAGATGAAAATGCATATATAAATTATTAAGCTGATATGTATCAGTTAAAATAGGAAATATGAAGATGTATCACTTTCTCTTTCAAGCATTAATTTAAAAACTTTCATTTTTAAGAATTAATTTAAAAACTACCTGTTATAAAATTTGTACTTTAAGGGCTGGCCCGTGGCTCACTCGGGAGAGTGCGGTGCTGATAACACCAAGGCCACAGGTTCAGATCCTATATAGGGATGGCCGGTTCGCTCACTGGCTGAGCGTGGTGCTGACAACACCAAGCCAAGGGTTAAATCCCCTTACCAGTCATCTTTAAAAAATAAAAAAATTGTACTTTAAAAAAGCCCCAGTGCTATTATGGATAAACTAGCTTTCATTTATTCCCAGTGCTATTATGGATAAACTAGCTTTCATTTATTCATTCACTCAATAATTTTTTTTTTCAAAAAAAATTGTACTTTAAAAAAGCCCCAGTGCTATTATGGATAAACTAGCTTTCATTTATTCATTCACTCAATAATTTTTTTTTTCCTGTGGCTGGCCCATACAGGGATCCCAACCCTTGACCTTGGTGTTATAACCCCACTCTATAAGCAACTGAGTTAACTGGCCAGCTCCTCATTCAATAAATCTTTATCGAGCATCTACTCCATGCCAGGCACTATTCCAGGCACTGTGGATTTAGCAGTGAGCAAAACACAGTCTCTATCCTCATGAAGCTGGCATTCTAGTGGGAAAGATATTAATGTTCAGAAGAAAAATAAAGTAGGGCATGGGAATGGAGAATGATGAGGGAGGGAGGAAGGTGTGCTATTTCAGCTACGAAGGTCAAGCAAACCTTCTAATGCAGTGGAGAAGTTAGCCACGCGACCATATGGGAGGAAGGATATTCCCAACTGAAAAAGAACTTAAGTGTCAAGGCCTGAAGAGGTGAGTGTTCAGTGCATTTGAATCAAGCCCAGTGAGCCAGGAGATGAGTGAAAAAGAAGAGTGGAAGGAAATGAGGTCAGAAAGGTAGAAGGCCAGATCATGTAAGGCCTTGCAGACCATGGAAGGGACTTCAACTTTTATTAAATGTGTGAATGGGAAACCATCTTAAGGTTTTGAGAAGCAGATGCAATGGTTTTGAAAAATTTAATCATGGCTGCTATGTAAAGATTCAGGATGAAGGGGGCAAGTGTGGAAACAGGCAGATCAGTTAGGAGGCTGTTGCAATATACTATGCAAGAGATGATGGTGGCTTGGACCAATGCGTGGTAGCAGTGAGAGGTGGCGAGAAGTGATCAGATGTGAGATATTTTTTGAAAGTAGAGCCAATATGATTTGCTGATGGGTTGAAAGTGGGATATGAGAAAATGAGCAGAGTCAAGGATGACTACAATATTTATGGCCTGAGCGACTGGGTGATTGGTGGAATCATTTACTGGGATGAGGCAGGAGCAAGTTTCAGGAAATAAGGTGTTCTCTTAGACATTTCATCCTGAGTGTTCAGAGTAACATTCGACT